AGAGATACGTTGGAACAGGAGAAGACTGCGCGAGTGGCGACCTACCAGCCGACCAGTATAAAACAGTACGTTGGATCCGGTGACTTCCAACGTTGTCCAGGCGCGGACAGCTCAGGGAACGGCGAGTATTACGAGCGCAGAAATGGACTCGTGTGCAGTGCGATAGCTGTGGGGAAGGGACGGAAACACGCAGACGCAGACTGTAAACAACGTTGAAAATGAAAAAAAAATCGTTTCCTCGATTTTATTAGTTTTGAGATCGTTCGGCCCCAAAATTGTAATCACGATCAAATTCCGATTAATTGAGCTGCCTTAGTGATCGTCTGCATTGGAAGTTCACGTTTACTGTTTAACTCACCAACGTCATTTTAAGGTGGTCTTTGGTCATCAGGTTGTACCTCTCGATCCTCTGTCTGATCTCCTCCCTGCTGAACTCTGTGCGCAGCTCTCTCTCCTTCTCCACATCCTGACAGAGTAAAGAGAAACACGATGAGTCACAACAACACGGCCTGTTTGGACAATGGAGGACGGCTTCTTCCTCATCATCATCATCATCACACAGTGACACATCAGCTGGAGGATAATGTCCGTATCCTTCCTCCTCAACCAAACCATCTGATGAGAGAAGTCTTTGTCAAACTCATTTACCTCTTCTTTACCTTTGGGAGAAGAACCGTAACAGGAGGCCGAGCTTCAACAATAAGAGTCTTTTCTTTATGTCGCTGTACAGAGCTGAAGCATTGTGCTATTTCTCATGTGACCCAGCCCACTAATGTGGTGACAACAGGGGAGGAGAGCTCACACAACAATAAATATACAGCCAGACGTTATGAACACCAAATGATGTGGAGATGTGTGAAGGGCCTGGCTGCTGGAGGCTCAGCACATGATGGAAACACATTTATAGATCAGCCGGCGTCTCATGCTGCACCACTGACTTCTACTTTTAGAGAAACATGGAAACCTGCTGCAGGACAGAGCAGCAAGTCACAAAAACTCGAAAGAAAGAAAGAAAGAAAGAAAGAAAGAAAGAAAGAGATAAAACGGTTGATTGAACTGACAGGAGGCCACGTGGACTCGAACTGAACGGATTCAAACTGTTTGTGATGTACACGACGCACGTTTGTCCACTCAGCTGCACAAGAGGAGCGAGGAGGCCCGGGGGCGCCGGTCCACGCTGCGTTCCTGTATTAATAACCGGAGCAGGTTGGGGAGGCCGGAGGGTCGAAGTGGAGGTCAGCTGATCGAGAACGAAGACAGACGGACGGACAACATGGGCCCTCAGGACAGACCGATTATTGGACGATATTCAGCTGTTTTGTTATTTTTTATCAAATTGACAATAAAATATTTTTGTTCCTTCCAGATAGACTCTGAAACACTTCACGTTATAAATGTATAAATATTATTTTGTACCAACCCTGTATGATTACTATCACTGTCGAACGTTGCAGCTGGTAAAGGAGTTAAACTTCACACTGACGAGTTGATTAATAATAATAATAATAATAAAATAAATGATTTAGATTTTGTATGAAACCCAAAATGTTCCACACAGCAAAACTGACACAACATATAATAAATATATTAGTTTAATAGAAACAATAACATGTAAAACATCAATAAATACAAGTTGAAAAAGGACAAAAATAATGTAAAACTAAATTACAACCTAAACACAACGCCTCCAAATTAAAAGCCAGATTCATTAGATTCATTTTAAAATCACAGAGAGTTCGCTATACTAATATCCAAAGGTAATGAGTTAATTTATATTTATATTATGACACAATTCACTGATAATTATTAACCAAAAATAGTGAGAAATGCCCAAAGAGATGATCAAATGTCTCGTTTTATCCAAACAAAGGTCCAAAAAAGAGTTCATATCATATATGATGTTTTACCTTTTTGCTTCAATAATGACCAAAAACGATTAATCAGTTACTAATCACTTCCTGTCCGTTCCTCAAGCGCTCCTGTACAATAAAGGAAAATAAAGAGAAATATATCTAAACGTGAGCCGGTCCAACTGCTCTGATGGATTATTTCGAGCATCAAACACCAGTAAAACTATAATTTAGGTCTCATGACGAAGCCAAGTTACATAATGAGCTGTAACGAGCACTGACTGCTCTGTGACTCCGTATCAATAATCAGCTCTGATCAACCAATGAACGGTCAACAAATGTCACAAAAAGATGCTTAATAAGCAGGTAAATAATAAACAAACAGACAAAAAAGAAAATATCAAATATTCTTCTCCAGTGTGAATGTTTGCTGCTTTTCTGAATACGTGACGGTAAATCTTTGAGTTTTGGACCGTTGGTCGGAGATGATGATGATGATGATGATGATGATGATCCTCTTTGGGTTCTGTGAAATTATTATCTGCATTTCTGTCTAATTTTAGTTTACAGACAAAACAATTCATCAATGAACTGAGAAAATACTGGTTAATCAATACTGATCAGGATTAATGTTGTATATGTTATATGAAACAATTCGTTGATTGAACACAAAATCAATCAACAAAGACTTTTACTGATACTGGTAGCTTTGCATTATAGGTTCTATATATTATATGTTACTTAAAATGACAGTAAATGTTTTTTCAGTTAAATGAAGTAACCCTGTAATACTGTAATAGAATAGCAGTAGTTTAACTGGTGATTGATCCACATTAATACAGTAAGATGAAACATTTAAAGCTTAAAACCACCGAGTGAACCGCTACACAGTCTGTCCTGATGTTTTCTATCTTCTGTCTGTGTGTGAGTTTAATTCTCCGATGTAGAGTGTGCTTACATGGGCATAGTGCAGCTCTCCTCTATTAAAACCACACACACACACACAGTGCACAATCCAAGGAGGCTTTGAAGGCCCACACACCCTTATATGGAAAACACACACTGCTCAAGGGAAAGACAAGGTGCCAATGCAGCATGTGCAAACAGACACAAACACTGCAGCTGTAACGTGTCCACTGAGTTAGAGCTCGGAGGAACAAATGCCAACGAGTGCGAGCTGAAACATCTCCTTCATCACCTTTAGATTAAAAGACTTCCCTCTACATCTCCTCATTAAACAGTGTATAAGCT